CAACATGTACCGTCTTATAAGGGCGCATGTGGCGCCGTGGTTGGAGGTGCCACTGCAGCACATCTGTGGAATCGACCTCCGCGCCCTTCGCCCGCTAAGCCTTCCATCCCTCCGGGGTCGGCAAATTGGTACCAGACTTGTCTGGGATGATAGCAGCACTGGCTCTATACCGGTAGGCTACCGCGAGTCATTGCATGGACCAGATATGCACTCCATCACCTACAACGATACTTAATGAAATCGAATGCATAGCGCACCCCTCAGGGATTGATGAACGCCGAGAGCTTTGACCTTTATTTACTGTCTTATACTTACTTATTAGAAATATGAGTTGGTACCCAGTAGTAATTCTACATCTAACAATGTTTCAGAGTTAGAGGACAGAAACATGACCAGCTGCCAGCTGACCAGGGTGACGAATCCCCTCGCTGTGCATCACAGTCCGACACCCATGAACACCTCACAGCCACGATGAGGCAGTAAACTGTTGGGAGGATAAAGCGCCGATAAATTTGCGAAGCAACATGTTTCTTCAAATTTTTTAAATAATATTTCACAGCCATTTTGAGTTTAAGTGTATACCTCAGTAGCTTTGTTTAGTTTAGTTCCACGTAGATTGTTTCTGCAAATTCCTGGAAAAACACTTCACGAGAGGACATTGACTGATCATGAAACACTCAAAAAGCCTTTAGACTACGTTATTGAATTCATCGACCTAAATATACGATTTCCTTCGTGAAAGCTCATAGTCCTGTCCATTGCCCGAAGATCCGATCAGCCGTAATCTGAAAGAGAATTCATGTTATCGACCAACATTCTGAACAAAATCCTATCCAGACGTGACTGGAAAATTAAATTGGACTTGACCGAAGATGCAAGCTGCTTTTCGAAGGACTCTGAAGTTTTGCCAAATTTACTTTGGTTCCTCGAGAAAAGAGATCAGACCGCATCTCCATTGCTAGCAAGGAGTTGCTCGAGAAGAGAGGGAAAGTAAAGCTTGATTCTGCTGCAATATGCTTAACACGACTAGTAATAAATAGCGGTTGTAGAATAGCTTTAAAGAAAGATCTACATCGGAAGCATTAAGATCAGGTTAGCAGAATTTTGTGCGTCAGGCCTCAATGCGTGCAGATTCGTACTGCTTTCCGGCAAAAATGTTTTTGAAAAACCTGGTGATGCTCATGGATGGTTCAGTGAACGACCTACTGATTTCGTTTTTGGAAAGCGATATGCGAATGTTATTGGTGAAAAGCTGATATGACCTAGAAAAAAACCGAACATGGGTTAGCACCTGCAAAAACAACCGAAAATGATTGCCTAATGGATCACCGAACAGAAGCTGGAAAGAAGGCAATTAAAATCCTAGTATATTCAAGGAATCGCAATAGCGCTTCAGTGAAAATATTTGATTTCTTGTGTGCTTAGATCTTTTTTACTCAAACCTCTCTGAACCACAAGAATCGGCGCATGCACATGGTAACAAGCATGAGAAGGCTGATCTTCGGCGCTTCAGGGAGTCACAAGTAGTTCAACCAGCAAGCCTCAGTACCTGCACTGTCATGCCTACGAGCTATTAGTTCGTTTTCTTTTCCTTTTTCTTCCGTTCTCATAGAATTTTTTTAACAGGAAGTGCTGACTTTCTTTTCTAGGAAAGCTGTTATCTGTGAAGAATTTCAGAGACTGTAGAGGCTTGCTATCAAACTCGGATCCTGAATGCGCCTCTTACCTCGAAGATTTACCGAAATTCCATTTGATTGGGTTCGTTCTTCTACTCGGTGCGTTTTTGAATTGTGTTTTCAATACAACTACAAAGATGCTGAGATATGAGCGAAACAGGGAACCTCAGGTGGTCTTCAAACCTGCGATTACTCTAGCCGGGGATTCACATGCAGTTCACCACGCAAACGGAGGCTCTTGCTTTGCCTTTCTCCCAGCCAATTTTTCCGTTCCCTTTGGCGAGTGATAGCTGATGGAACCGCTAGAGTAAAAAACTGACTGAGGGAATTGCAAAAGCTCTCCGATGGTGCGCTGGATATCATGCAACCCCTCAGGAAAGATAATCGCGAGTTCGCAGCCAAGACGAGGTTCCGAGTTCTACCCAGATCTGAGCATCCTTGTTGTTGAGACACAGACAGAAAGTAAAAAGGTGAGTAAAAGATGAAATGTCGTGTTCTATACTGTTCTATTTCTTAAAAACGATAAAGCTCCAACTTCATTAAGCATCGCTGGAGGTGACTGAATGCATATGTGGTCTTTACAATGAACTGCAGTTGCATACCAATGTGTTGAGTCGGTGCTTCTATCCTCCTAAATAGGTATCGTACAAATTCGTCGAACCCGGAGGGATAGAGGAGGGCTTGGTGAGGAGATCGAACGCAAGTATGTGGCAGAGCACCTCTGATCATTGTGCATCACGGGCGCTTGCATAAAGCATAATGAACATAAATAAGTTGCTAAAATGTAAAATTCAAAGGAGAAAGCCTTTAGCTGGGTTCGTTACCGATTTGGGTCCCTCAGATCAATCCCGCTGACTGGTGATTGCTGATGGCAAAATATCGATAGAACTAGCTGAGAGAAAGGCGAAACGAAGGACCGGCGTGGTGTGGTGGTGGACGCGCTACTCTCCGGAAAGGAAAATAGCGCGTTCGTTCCCCACCGCAGACACCTGGGTCCAGAGTTTTGCAAATATCTCAGCATCATTGAAGTTACATTCCTAACCTTTTTATTTTTTATTCACTACCTGTTCTTTCTAATGGCAGGTTGCGAAGTATAACTCCTATGATGCTGAGATATTTGCAAAATTCCGGGCGGCAGGTGTGTGCGGTGGGACGAACATGCTATTAGTCTTTTCGGGGGCTAACGCGTTCACCACCACACCACGCGGGTCCTTCGTTTCGCCTGTCTCTTAGCTAGTTCTATCGATCGGCGTCATCAACAATCACCCGTCAGTGGGACTGATCTGGTGAGCGCAATTACATCTTTTAATTACATCTTCTTATTCTTAAGTAGTTGGTTAGCGCAGTTTTCTATTCTTTTTTCTCGTTGTTTACAAACCATCCATTTGATATCTCATGTCAGCCGATATCAGGTGCAGACTGAAGTATTGGTGTGAATTGCATTCATGTAAGCATGGTTCTGTATGATTTGCAATGTCCGTTGATGGGTGATTGCTGATGGCAGTGATCGATAGAACTAGCCGAGAGACAGGAGAAACGAAGCACTCGTAAGGTGTAGTGGTGAACGCGTTAGCCCCTGGAAAGGGTAATATCACATTCGTTCCCCATAGCAGACACCTGCGGTCCTAAGTTTTGCAAATATCTCAGTATAGTAGAAGATATATTTCGCAACATACCTGTCATTAAAAAGAATGGGCAGTAAATAAAAAGGTTAAGATGTCCGACACTTCAGAAAGTGACGTGCCGTCTGATCGTTGTGGTTAGTGACCAGTTAATAAGTTTGGGTCTTTCAAATTGAAATATTTTAGATGTCTTCAAAATGACTCAGATAGCATCTTCTCTACAATATTAGAATAGTGATGCTTATGCGTAGGAATCTGCGTAGTAACAATGCCCTATTGCTAGTACATGTCCTCGGGAATTCAAATACCGAATTCCTCAAATACAATTTTGTCGCTGTTGTTGCCACTTCCATATGCATAGATGTAGGTAGTTTCTTGTATTGTTCCACTACTCTCGATATTTATGCGGACCGTGTAGCACAGTGGTTGCAGGCGCACCGCGGTACACACATGGGATCGATCCACGCCCCGGTGGCTCACCAACCCTTCCATCTCTCCGGGGTCGGCCAATTGTGCTAGACTTGTCTAGGAGGACAGCAACACTGGCTCGATACATCGGTAGGCCACCGCGAGTCATTGTATAGGCCAGATATGCGTTCAATCACCCCCATTGATGCTTAGGGAAGTCGAATGTATAACGCATCCCTCAGGGATTGATCAACGCTGAGAGCTTTATCCTTTTATTCTTTTACTCTCGAAATTTATTTTTTTCACGGAAGTTCGTTGTGGTTCGCAGAAGTATACTCCAGGATATTCTAGGGTATTGCGTTAAATTCTCGCTGAAATCTTCCTGCAGGCAGAATGATTTCGTCAAACGTCACCAATGACTTGGATTTGGTTCTGGATCGTTTACCCATCGACTATCCAGCTCTGGTTATGGAGACGTTCCTTTCTAGTATGTGGACCATTCTTTCATTCCTTATTGTCACGAAAGCTTTAGAATTACTACTTAAGCGCAGAGCAAAAGCCTCAGTGGTGCAGTATGTAACACATGAACCCCCCAAAAGGGTAGTCGTGGTTCAATCTCACCCGAAGTCCAAGTTTTTACGAATATCTGAGCATCATTGTGGTTGTGTTTCGCTACTTAGTTACTCTCTTCAAAAAACTACTTCAACAATGCTGAAACATTTGCAAAACTCCGGACCGGATGTGTCTGCGGTGGGGAACGAACGCGCTATTGTCCTTTCCGAAGAGTAACGCGTTCACCATCACACCCGGGTCCCTCGTTTCGTCTGTCTCTCATCCAGTTCTATCGATCGGCGCCATCTTCAATCACCCTTCAACGGGACTGATTTAAGGAGCCCAAATCGGCAACAAACCTAGTTAAGCTGAGGCTGAAGTCGAAGTCGAGCTTCATTGACGATTTGGACTTCACAGATCACCCCCGTTGACGGGTGATTGCTGATGGTGCCGATCAATGGAACTAGATGAGAGAAAGGCGAAACGAAGGACCCGCATGGTGTGGTAGTGAACGCGCTACTCCTCGGAAAGGGAAAATGTTACGCTCGTTCCCCACTGCAGACGCCTGCGGTCCGGAGTTTTGCCAATATCTCAGCATTATCTTAGCTGTACATCAGCATCGTTGAAGTTACATTTCGCCATATACTCTGCAATTAAAAAAAGTAGGCAGTAAATAAAACTTAAGATTGTGATTAAAACTGCTTCAGTTGGTAGAGATGAAGTTGTTGATGACTGTGCGACTATGGAGAATGGATTCTGTTGGATGGTTTCCAAATGCAACATATTTGTTTGGAATGCGGACACTGTATGTCTTTGCATTTTTTTCCTATTTTATCTATTTATTCTCTCTATTTCTGTCTTTCCTTCTTTCTTCCTGTCTATTTCAGCTCACCGCCTTGTAAGAGTTCCCATCACCATTGCTCAGGTAGTCACCTGTTCTTAACGTGATACCGTTCCAGGATAACGAATCTATCAACAACACGGTACAACTGCCCCTTCCTCCTTCCGGGCTTCCATATTCAGCCAGATCCGTTGTTGTATACAAGAGCAGTATGTTTCCTATTTGAAGAAATCTATCGTTTTATTATTTCGAAGCGCAGTTGTCGGAGACGCCCTGCAACAAACACTTGGAATCGATCTCAGCGCTCACGGCCCACCAAGCCTTCCATCCTTCCGGGGTCGGTAAATTGGTACCAGACTTGTCTAGGAGGATAGCAGCACTGGCTCGATAGATCCGTTGGCCACCGCGAGTCATTGTAAAGGCCAGTTATGTATTCAATCACCTCCAGCGATGCTTTATGAAGTCGAATGCATGGTGCATCCCTCAGGGATTGATCAAGGCCGAGAGCTTTAACCTTTATCGTTTTATTAGCTCGAAAATTTGAATTGTGGATGATTCTTTTCAGATTCTGGACCTCCTGGGGTCCTAGTCGTTTCCGCAGAAGGGGTTGCTCGTCACTGGCCATGTGTAATATCTTCGATTCATTACGAAGTAGTCATCGATCTAGCTAGTGAAGTAACACTTGCTGTACAGTTTCTTGAACGATCATCTGAAGGTGAGGTGCTTAGAAGCAGGCGTTTTTATGTTACGAGCAAGGTGACGGCTATAATTTACTTCTTACTCGCAAAATTCTAGTGTTATTTTAAGAGACCTCGTTCCTTCTTACGACAACATCTGGCTCTGTCTACCTGCTTCATTGGATCGCAGTTTCTAGACGTGGGCAGATTCAGTGGACAAAAGTCGCGTCAGGGGAGACTTTTGGAATTGGCAAACGTTTTTCGAATATTATTTTTGGATCTCAGGCTTCAAATTCGGATAGGCATGTTATTTCGTCTTCAGTTGTTTTTTCAAACCACTATCTACAGCACTTCTAATGTTCATCGTAGAAGTTCTACTAATGCTTTTAAGATCTCCATATGTTTAATTCAATAAGAGCCTTCTTTCAGCACACGTGTTACCAACTGTTTAATCTTTCGGACGAATTCCACGGAAAATGGCAGTGTCAGTAACCTTTTCCGAAGTTTCCAGTTTAGATTCAATTTCGTCCAAGTTTTTGAACGCTCCTTAGGATTGCGTTGACTTCTATAGCAGCGGTATCACAGGATGTTTAGAACATTGATGCAACCGTCGTTACAATTTCTCCCAATTCTCTGAGGGCATATGATGTCTGGAACAAGAATCTGCTCTGGACAGTCAATATTCATACTCTTCTTGACTCTTATATTATCGATTCGTTCAAGGTAAGTATTGACATTTAAACTTGATGTTGCTTCTCGGAAGTCATTCTTGTGTTTAAGCAATGTTTATCTGTCATAAAAGGGGCGCGTGTTGCGCACTGATGGGAGGCTTTCTGCAGTACACCTGGGGTCGATCTCTTGGCCCCAGGTTCATCAAAACTTCCATCTTCCGATGTCGAAAAATTGGTACCAGACATGTCTGGGAAGGTAGTAGCACTAGTTCGGTACATCGGTATGCCACCGCGAGTCATTGAGTCATTGTAGAGGCCAGATATGTATCCATTCACCTCTAACGATACTTTATGAAGTCGAATGCATGTCGTATCCCTCAGGAATCAACGCCGAGAGCTTTATCTTTTATTTATCCTTTATAAATTTTCCCTATTTCACGTCATTTTTCAGCGCTCATCAAGAGGCACTCCCATTGCTGATTTGAATGTATGGTTGTTGGATGCCGCAAAATTCCGTGATGGGATGCTTTTATTGTTAGTTGGAAACCATGGGAACACTACGGAGTTAACGTTTTTTCTGGGTAGATCTCCTATTCTAATTTGTTAGATGCAGCGATTCGTCATTCAAGTTCGAGAAATCAGTGTAGTTTTTAGCTCTTATGCGCTTCGACTATTCTTCACCAACAGATGTGATGTGGTTTTCAAGCATACCCACCGGAAAAGGTTGCTTACGAGAATTTGAGGTTGCACTTTGACTAATCATTGGCTCGAATTTGCTCGTTTTCTAAGAGAATGTCTATAGAATCAGAGTCGATTGACCTGTACTTTCTTATAGTTAGAGAGTTCATTGTGTTGTACTCACTGTGTTCCAGCTTTCCAACGAATCGTCATTCATAGGCCGCGTTTTCCTATGTGTTCCTGGATTAACGGCAAACTCATCCAGTTGCAAACGAACAGATGGAGTTGTAATAATATATCCACAACACGGTGACAAAATTTCTGCTTTGAAATATGACCATGATCATGCTGAGATATATGCAAAACTCCGGTCCGCAGGTGTCTACGGTGGGGATCGAACGCGCTCTTACCCTTTCCGGGGGCTAACGCGTTCATCACCACACCACTCTGGTCCTTCGTTTCGCCTTTCTCTCAGTCGTGTTATTAACTTATAGACGCTATCAACAATTACCCGTCAACGGAATTGATCTGGGTTGCACAAATCGGCATGAACCCAGTTAAGCTGAAGCTGTGGCATAAATCACAACATAGTCACTTTATTTACTGCCTATTCTTTAGGGAGTAAATGGAAAGTTACTACGTTGTGGTTTCTGCATTGATTTTTCAAAAGTGTCACTTCGTAAGTAGTAATGTTGCACCTTTTTTTCTAGTCGGTAGAGCATAACCTTTAGTTTTGGCCTCTAAAGAGGAAGATAGAGATAGAAGGATAGAAAAAGGCAGTCATAAATACTGCTTTTTAGTAATCCACGAATCAACCAATAGTTTTTTTGGTCATCTAACCTTACCGGAGCCAAAAAACTGGTTTTTTTTTATTACTGACGTGCTTGTTTATTCTTATTTCAAAACTTATTTCCGCTGTGAATTTTAAAATATTGGTGTTCCATATGGGTTTACCGTAATTCAATATTGTCTTCTAAAAGGTGTTCCCGGTTGTACTGAATGTGATTTTCCTTTCCAGTTCAATCTGTGTACTTACCTGATGAACTAGAAAAGCACAATGTGCTTCCACTGAATAAGGTCATACCATTTCCGACGGGCACGAGACTTGTCGGTCATGGTGAGTTCTATCTTCAGAATGTGGAATATTTCCTGATCCCATCATTTTTTGTGATCTAGAGTCGGCAGACCTAACAGCCAGTCCTAATTTCTTCTAGTGTGATAATAATGTTTAGCATGTGATGAGCGTTTCTGCTATGTGATGACTGTCAGTTGTGGCATCTCTGCTGTGCGTCTATTACCAAAGTAAGTGACTTTTATTTAAAGTGAGTAATCTTTTGTTGTAAAATGTGTATGGTGCCATCGGTGATCACCCATCTACTGGATTAATCTGGGGAACAGAAATCGACATTGAACTCAGTTACGTTGATGCTATAGTCGAGGTTGAGTCAGCGTTGGATTTTTATTTACTGCCTACTAATTTTCGACGGCAGGGTATTATGTGAAATACAACCACAGTGGTGCTGGGATATTTGCAAAACTCTGCACCGCAAGTGTCTGCTGTGGATTGTGCTTCCCAGATCAATCCCGTTAACGGATGATTGCTGATGGCACTGGTAGATAGAAAACTAGCTGAGAGGAAGGCGCGAAGTATGATCTTGTGGTGAGAGCGTTAGCCCTCGGAAAGAGTAATAACGCGTTCGATCACCACTGCGTACACCTGCGGTCTAGAGTTTTGCAAATATCTCAGCATCGTAGTGATTGTGTTTCACAAAATATCTTGCTGTGAAAAATTAGTAGGTATTAAGTAAAAATTTAACATTATGTATAAAGGGTACATTTTATGGTACGTGTCTTTGGGTTCTTCACTCTTCTAGCGCCAATTGTATAATCTGTTTTAGTGCTTGTAAATTCTTCACCTAGTGAGCGGATTTAAGAAAGATAAAATTTGGACTACAAATAGATTATCGTGTTGAGTTAGTTTTCAACTTGTTGCTAGCCACATACATGTCTTTGCAGAGGATTCGATGACGATTTGAAGGATGACAAATTCTTCCTGGACGATTTGGAGGATATCGAAGAGAGCATCTCTAAGGATGAGAAATCACTAGCGTCGCTTGTATCTGCTTTTTCATCATTTGCTGCAAAGAATATTGTTGGTACAAAATCTCCTCGTTGAATAGACTTTGAAAATTTTCATTCGTACTGTTCTTTAATGATTTGTTATGGTGTTTTTAGATTGATGCATGCGAAGCTATTAAGCCTCTTCTCAGCAAATCCAATACTGATTTCACAATTTTGGTATACACCTTTTTGAAAATTATCATAGATCGTCCAGGTAAGAAGTTTTTTAGTTTACTGTTCTTGTACAAATTTCAATAACCATTGAGTGCCTTTCTAGCGGGGTCTTCTCTTGAGACAGAATTGAGGCGAAAAAAGGTGCTATGTAACCGCATTGTGCTATTTCTTAAACATATGGGTGTTTATGATAAGGTCAGCATCATTTTCTTCTTTTTTTTTTGTTGGTTGTATAATTCTCGAGATAGATCTTCCTAGTATGCTACCTGCATGTTGATGTATAGAATTTAGGTTGCACAAACGAAGGTGCTTATCTCCGACCAGCGCAGCTCTCGTACTGGGGTCTCTATTCTCTCGGAGGTATAAACAATGCGAAATATTTCGTTTTGATGTCGTTCTTTCTGGCCTAGAAATCCACTATAAATATTGTATAGTCAACACGGCTGAGAGAAAAGCGAAAAGAAAGTCGCATGGTGTGGTGGTGAACCCCCGGAAAAGGTGATAGAGTGTTCGGTCTCAACCGCAGACACCGGGGGTCCGGTGTTTTGCAAATATCTTTGTTTCATTGTGGTTGTATTTCACATAATACCCTCTCATCGAAGAAGAGTGGGCAGTAAATAGAAAGTGACGACATTGTGTAGTCATTTCGGAGGAGGGGAGGATTACAAATGAATACACCTCCTCCAGATGGCCGAGCGAGTCTCTGTTGCAATTGCGCTATTCGATTGGGAAGTTACACGTGAGGATCGGGCTGAGGTATTGGAAGAAACCACTAAACGACTAGGCCACATTAGCGATGTTCACTATGGCTATGATGCTACGGTCTACTGTACGGTGAGCGATTACTGAGTCTTCTAAGTACTCGACTTCATAATTAGTTTGTTACATTCATTTACAAGGGTTAGTAAGTACATTAGAACATGATGAAAATGATTTACTTTTTTTAAGCTTTCTGCAATTCATAATCTACCAGCAGCTTGTGCCGACACAATGCGTGAACTGATGATTCGAGCGGTTGACAAAGCAGCCAAACGACGGCTTGTTTACCTTTGTGCGGATATGTTGCTTACATTTGCAAATGCGATTGAATCATGTAGAAGGTTCATGGTGTCAAGTTCTTGGTGTTGAATTTAGCATTTAGTGTGAAAAATATCGAGCAAAGATTTAACTTGTTGATTACAGTTTTTATTTTACTGGTGCCTCCCAACGGTTTACAGCCTCATGGTGACTGGAAGGTGTTCCTGGGTGTCAGGGTGCGGAGGGTAGCGGACAGATTCATCTCCCAGTTAGGGTCTCCCAATCTGAGGAGTCCGGCGTTCCCATCAGGAAGCCCAGCTAAAAGTAAACCAATACAGAGATCCACCACCATCCTGGTATCAGTTTAGTTGCATGGTGACAAATCTCCCTCAGGTCCAGTAGGGCAGGTACGATTGCCTGTAGTGGTTACGACCTGAGGCATGGTTTGGTCAGGCTGACCTCCTCCAGGTAACCATAGTGGCTAAACCAGCAGAACTCCCAGAAAAAGGAAATTATACTGGGGCCCGCACAATCAGTGAGGGTTGATCGTCCAAGTATCCAAGTGTTTTGCTTCTGACCTTGTATTCTTCTAAGAAATCAATACCTCTTTGAAATGTTATTTCTTACTTTAGAATGTCCGCAAGCGTAGTTGTTCCGCGAGGTGATGTACAATGGACGGCTGGGCCTATTTCAGACGCATACCTTGTCGTGGTGATTTTTCTTAAGATTATTGAAGCATTTTCCATTTCCTATCTTTCCTTGTAGTCTTTTCGACTTAAATATTTGTTGACTCTTAGATCTAGTGGATATTTTTACGCAGGCACCTAGCATTAGGAGAAATGCTGACAAGTAACTTAACTCTTTCATCAGATCCGAGAAACCAATTAGTTTTAGTGCAAAGTCTTGCTTAAAGAGTTGGAAGCAAGCGATTTGTCGCAAGCGGAAAGAATGCGTCTTAGAGAGTCCGCTATTAGGTGTGTGATTTTTCTTATATCCCATAGAGAATATAAAAATATTTTTAAAAAATGGACTTTCTGCTTTGTAGATTAGTTGCGTTTCACCTCAGCGAATGCAACGAACCTATTGATGGGCACGAACTTATAGTAGCTTTTTACGATCTTGACGAATGTGAAGTTGCAGTAGAATTGGCAGAGAGGTTTAAGTTATGTAGTTCTTTTGAGTAATTTTTTGGAACAATCACTTGGAACATTTCATTTTCAGGATTTCAAAGTATTAGTGAAGATGTGCCTAGAGTTCGATGAAGCAGACCGACGTTCCAAATTAGACGAATACAAACGACGGTTTGCTGCCGATGAGTTTGATATGTATTTGTGCAGATATCTGAAACGAAAAAGTGAGTCCAAGCATATCTCGGTTCGCCTTTTTGGTTGTGAGATTATGTGCTGGTGGCAACGGTAAATAGAAAACTAGTTGGTAGACAAGCGAAACGAAGGACCCGCGTGATGTGGTGGTGAACGCATTAGCATCGGAAAGGGTAATAGCTCGTTCGTTCACCACCTTGGAAACCTGTGCTACGGAGTTTTGCAAATACCTCAGCATCATTATTGTTGTATTCTGTTTGTTTATAATATTATATTTTGGTCAGATCTTAACGAACTTCTACTGGAAGAGAGAGGTGAACGTGCCGATCGTTACTTGTTGTCATGTGAAGAAGTACGCTGGAGAAGAGAACTACAAAATAGGCAGTTCGAACAGGTAAGTGATAATTCAGTGCTTAAGCAACTACGAAGTCGCTATTCTCATCTTTTTCTCTTTTTTACCTACTGAGTCCTAATTCCCATGCTATATGTTACTTTAGTAGAATTTTACTTGGTATAGGTCGTTTTTAAGCTTATTTGTTCCGAATGTTGAGATATTCTTGTGTACGCTTGTTTGTTTCTTTTTATCCAGAAATAAGCCAGCACAACTATAATGATGCAGATACAGGCAAAACGAAGGCCAGCATGCATCATTATAGTTGAATTCCACATAATACCCTGCCATAAAAAATTTTAGTAAGCAGCAAATAAAAAGAAGTGAGCACAGTTTCCAATTTGTTTCAGGCTTCTCAGAGCTTGTTGAGTTTGGCATATCGTGAGGCCTCCAACGTTGACCGACAAAGAGTAATACTAATTATTCGAACGCTTTTTCTTTTCTTTTTTGAGTTCTCTATTTTGACAACTTTCTGATCAGTGTGATAGCTTCTCACCGCTGACTTTTTCAGAGCTTGTATGCATTTGCAAAGTTAGCAGCTGTATGTGGCGGTAAAAAACCTAATGATGTTGTTCACGAATCCACTAGAAAACTGCAGCTTATTAAACACCAATCACTTATTCCAGAGTCTCTGATGAAGGTAGCAGCTCCAATTTCATATAGAGATTTCCGGACCTTATTGTCTTTCGGTTTCGTAGGAAAAGATATGGGAGTGCTCTTCCTTATTCAGACCGTTTATCCGGATAATCCTAACCGTGCTTTGACCGTAGCTGAAATGATCGAGTTGAATATGATCGATGAAGATGTAACGGAAGGACATAAGCGGTTTGTAGTTAGCTTTTATATCAACTGCAATTATCATCATAGTTTCGTAAACGCTACTGTTTGTTGTTTGGTTTTTTAAAAGAACTTTTTATCTATTCTTTCCTCAAAGATGATGAGAACGTTTTTGTTGATTTTTAGGGCGCTTTATCTTGTGGCTTGCTTGCTACAAGATGGTGATAGTGTCGAGTTACGCTCCCAAATGACAAAAATTTGGATTTCTTCACTGAAGTATACAGAATGGAATAAGGTTCTAATGATCTTCACGGATATACTTTTCCTATCAAGTTTTTTAAGCAGAGATAATCATTTTTATAAATTATGCTTAAATTCTTTATATTCTGATCAGAAATAGTCTTTATTGGCTAGAATTATCTATCATGAAGCAGGGTTATGTAGTAATATGAAGACGTCGCCATAGGTCCTCGCATCGATAGTATTTTTTACTTCATTTAGATCACCAACGTATACGAAGTTTCTGACACACCTTTCGGTAGTATACTGAAACATATGGAGGAAGATGGTTTGTTGAATTATTATACGTTCTTTTTAACGCTGACAATAACATCGGGATAACAGTATTCATGCTGTGCTGGTTCCAGTAACCTCTATGGAATCACTACTATACGTCATTCCAAATAGTGATGCACTCATAAGAAAATGTAGAAAGGTAGTTCGTTTCAACATCCCTCTTGTCCTCGTGCTGTTAGAAAATGTTTTGAAGGAGCTATCAGTGAACGAATCGGCCACAAATTGGGTCCGAGGTGCTATCGAGAGGACAGCGGCAGCAATAAGAACTAACCTGGAGACGAAGAAAATTGAAACGGAAGCTAAGAAAAATGTTGTCCTAGAGAACCCTGAAACATACTTCTCAGGAAGTCTATGAATCTCGGCAACTGAAAATGGTCTTTGTTTAGTAGATGTTAACTATTTTAGTATTTGACTATTTTACGTATAGAAGACTGCCGTGAACTTTCTGTCTTTCTGTTGAAAAACCGTCAATTTCATCGTCAACAGCTTTTATTTGTCTGGTCTCACAAAGTAATTGTTTGATCGTACGATAAACCGACTCATTACTATACTTCGCTGTATACAAAATTGAAATACAATGCATCATATAAAAGAGCTAAAGATAAGGGTTAAACGTGCACTATGTTTTTAGACTGTTCAACGTTGAACATTGTTCGTCGGCTGTTGAGTATTCCATTGTGCATTTCTGTGTATGCGGGATGAGCAAGAACGCGGTTCACTTCTAATTGGAACTCTGCAAAGTTCCGTAAATTGTAACCTTTCCGCACTCCAAAGGGCATGCACTGACTTTAGTGCAAGAAAATGGGGCAACAGATTATCATATTTGCAAAAATAATGACTGGAATTCTCAACATTATTTTTGTTACTTGTGGTACCGGTTTGTATCGTCGCGGGACTCTGCCTTTGATGCTGGGTGTACTTTGACCAAATCTTTCCTGTGTTTCAGTTCGTATAACACAAGCGCTGTCACTATGCATGGTGCAGCGAATAATGAACCTATATATCATTCAAGCAAAGAAATTCTTAGGGAAAGTATTGGCATTGTTGTTCCTAATACTACTATTCCACGGAATTCCCTCATCGAAGGATCTCATTCCTAGTCGTTACGCAACGTGGTGCGCCTCCAGAGGAGTGGATAGTAGTTAGTCGCAGTTCAAAAGCTATCATGCGCTTTCCTAAGACGCAGATGGGTCCAGGAGATGGACTTCCTGTTTTGCTGCGCCAAATTGGCACATACCCTCTCTGTCTACGAGGAAGTATTCATGGGTGCGTGTGTGAATGTGTTTTTGTTTATGCGAATTGTATTCTATCAGTCAGTTTGGCCAGAAGCCTCCGATTAAGGGACTGTGAACTATACAGAATGCCGTTACGAGTTGTTCTCAACAAATAATCTCTTTCTCTATTGTGGGAGGGACAGGAAAGGCACCCGTGGATATACTCAGTTTCGACGTTCAGAGCTCAACAAACTAAACGTGGCAAAAATCATCAAAAGCTAAACACAGCAAGATGAACGGGCCTCATTCCTACGAGCCCAAAACGGTTCACAGATACAGTAGTGTTGGATACGACGTGTACGGAAGGGATTAGGACCATTCTGGGCTAAGTCTCGATGGACTAAGATGGACCTGCAGGTGCAATGCGCTCGCACTTGCATATGAGTCCTCCGTTGCGAACTTGATCATACACACAAGAAGAATAAGGTACGACGTCATCGACCTAGTCGAAGCCACCCATTCAAAACCGTCTACGAAGGAATACCCGCAGAA